CTAGAGAGAGAGAGAGAGAGAGAGAGAGAGAGAGAGAAATAATAGAATAAAAAAGAGAAGAATAGAAAAAGATGTTTTTTTCAGTTGAGAATAAAAGATTACCGTTTCAGCTCTGGCAAGTTCCATTTCTTTTCCAAGTCTACAAAGTCCCATTATTATGGGGGCCTGGAACTGAATGACAACATCACCAGAGCCATTTCCTTGCCTGGACATTGAATTCCCAGATGCGAGTGGAGCAAATCACATCACCCTCTTTGCCTGCTAGTTAGTCAGGAACAATTATTTCTGCCCTGACAGTCTGACAGCAATGATTGGCAGTCTGAAGGATTTTCCGTTTTGGCTCTTTTAAAAAATTGGTTTGAACAATTTTCTCTTTGATGGGACTAGTTATGAATGGAATCATTTCTTGTCTTTTTCTCAAATTTTTTTCTTTTTCTAAAGATTTATTTTTAAAATCTCCGGAATAATAGCCAACCCAACCGGAGATCGCCCAAACCCCCGCATTGCTTGGAATCCATTCTGTCAACTAGCGAACCCAAAGGCCCCGCAGAAGCTGTTATTTTTTGGGAATTTTTTTGTTTTTTTTTTTTAATTTTTTCCCTTTCCATTTTTATTTTAATTTACTTTACTACCTTAACACACTTTTGAAGGTGTGTCTTGAAGTCTGTTGTGTACCACCATTACCGTACCGGATTCCTCGTGCATCCATTCATTCACTTCTCCTCCATCGTGCTTCTTGCTCTCTTGTTCCTTTCTCCTCTTTTTTTTGTTCTCTCCTCTTCGTCAACTTTTTTTTCCTTTTCTCCTCCCATTCCTTCTCCTCTGTCGCTATACCTCTCTTCCACCTCTTCTTGTCCACTCTTTCAACTTCCGCTTCCATTTAAACCAATCCTCCTCAATTGCCCAACCATTGCCCCTAGGCTTTTTTACTTCAGCCTCACTACTAGGTACCGGCACACTATTCTAGAATTCGCCCCCAAGCCAGACGAAACTCTTCTTCTGCCTTTTTCTTTTTTTTTTTTATTTCTCCCCCCTTTCACGTCCACTTCGCTCTTCATCCCTTTGGATCACCGCCAACTTAATATAACCAACTGTTTTGATCATACTATCTTCAAGTGGGCTTCAGGGGATTGATCGCCCGAGAGTCCACGTACTCACACCATGGCCTCATTCAAGGTACGGCGTTTGCCGCCATACTCTGCATTTAATTCCTTTGGACCAACTAGTACTCTTGAATAAATTGCTAATACTAACGGTTTCGTCCATTGAGCAGGAATTATCTCTTTCTCGCCCTCTACCTCAGTCCAACCCACGCCACCATGCCCACTCCATCTCGCTCGGTGCGGTCAACGCTAATCATCGGGTAACTCGCCGTAAAAGTGTCACCACTGCTGCTGCCGCCAACGCTGCCGCCGCGGCAGTCGCTGCCTCCTTGAAGGATTCGGTTGGGGAGTCAGTAGGAGTTTCTATGCCTTCGCATCGTCGAGGGAGCCGGAAAGGCTTGGAATCTAGTTCGGTCGGGGCCCCCTCCGGCTTCGGCTCTTATTTCTCACGGAGCATGAATAGCCCCAGCCATGAGCCGCCGGTCGCTCGCAAGGCCTCGCCAACCAACTCAAATGACGCATCCTCGACAACCCTCGCGGCCGTAGATGGAAACAACTCCGCCAGCAAGTCCACCAACAATAATAAGAACCGAAACCGTCGGGCCAGCGAGGGATCGCACCTTATCAAAAGCGAAGGGAAGCGCCCCATGACGGAACTTCGCTGCGATCGTTGCGGGAAAGGGTATAAGCATGGCAGTTGCTTGTCTAAGCATATGTGTGTATCCTCCCCTAACATGCCATCCTACCGTCTGGCTCGATCCGGGGTAAATGCGCCATGTCGGCTCTGTGCAAGGTCGCCTTCGTGGTCATTCAATTCCCCTTATTCTCCAATCCCTTTTCACCCCCCTGTCGTCCTGGGCCACACTCGATTGACGTATTATGGTACTTAGGTGGGAACATGACCCTGCATGGGCTATTACCTCGAAACTTCTGATCTCTAAGCATCAACAAGTCCAGCTGCTCGAGGCAGCCTCAGTTTTGGTAAATATGAACCAGGACGGTCCGCCAGAAGGCGCAGAGGCCGAGTCGGAAGCATCATCGGCGTCCCCTGATGCCTCGTCAGAACTTCGAGATGGTCTCAGCTCTGCAGAGACCACTCCACCCCCGATGGATGAGGATGACGAGGACGATGAAGACATGTCCCCCGAACCAACTATGGAGAAACGGTACAGTGTCAGCACTGCATCGGGCCTCCTCTCCCACTCGTATCAGTCCATACCCTCGAGCTCCTTCACCGGCAGTGCTCCATGGCATTCGCCGGCGTTCTCACACTACCGCCACTCAAGTATCGATACCCGACCTTCGACCGCAGAAGCCAAATTGCACGAAGACGACGAGGCTGACCTCGCTGCAGCCATCGGTCTCTGCACCTTCAACACCCCTCGCACGCGGCCAGTGCCAATGTCCCCTAGTGTACCCCCCGTCCCTCCATTGCCAAGTCGCTTCCTTGACCAGGCCAGCGCGAGTGGTAACGAGAGTCAGAGCTTGGATCAGTCGGCAACCAAGGAGGCAGATGCCCTTTTCCCGAACTCTACTCCAAACCTTTTCCTCTCGCTCTCGTATAACCCTTCCCTGTCGTACAAGGTGTCAGACGAGCGAGAGGTGAAGATGGGCGATGCGGATCGCACCACACGGCAGAGTCGCAATGCAGACGTTGATTTTGGGCACCGGCCCTCTGCGGCTGATGAGGACGATGATGGCGTTTTTGGCCGGATGGAGGAGTAAACAACCACTCATCTTCTACCCTCTTGGATCATCTTTCTGTGTGATTCTCACGAACTTCTCTTCGGCCATGGATTCTAGCCGATTGGGCTGCTGCGCTGCGGCAGTAACTTTTCATGACATGTACGAGCTCGCGCGTATTTTGCGAACGTTGGTTTTTCTGTGGTTACTTGTGCTGTTTGAACAACCCCTTTTTGCGTGTATGACAAGTTACTAGGGAATGTATCACCCGTCGGCACTTCGTGTGACCTTGGGGCCCTGGTATGCATGATTGATTTGAATGGACCGTCCCGGTCTTATTATTTTTATTCTTTGCCTTCTCTCTTTTCATTGGTGTCTCACTCTCTCTCCCTTCATATTCCCACTATTGCCACTCAATTACTCCATTCTGACTACCCATGTATCATTTTATTTGTATCACAGCATTTGCATCGCCCTCATATACCGGACCAGAGTCCTTCACATGAGTCCGTCGACTGTTTCCTTTTTATTTGTGTACACAAACTCCCAATGGGATATACTAAATACATCATACTGGGTTATACTTGTCACGCCTGAGCAACGAAGGGAAGCTGGTTCACAAAGCAGATAATTTCTGGTAGACTAATCATTTATATTTAGATAGAAGACTACTAAACATTCTATATTTTCTTGCATAACCCAAAAGCCAAAGCTTATGCTCAAAACACATTGTGAATTCATACATTCCACCCCAGAGCACACACCGCCTGCCCAAACACATCACGCAAGATTAAGAAGTCCCAAGAGCGTCCAACAAGAACCAAGCTACTTCCCGACTATCCCCACATACCAACTTTTGCTAACAAACGAGCCAAGGACTCAGAGATCTGGAGGTTCACTAAAGATATGGGCCCGATCAACACGCATCCCCGTCCGATCGCATATTAAGCACAAGACCAAAGAAGGCGATCAGATCATAGATTGGGCGGGACTAATCTCCGTCAATTACCCACGAGACGAACAGGGTGAATAGGAAGATGTATATATAACTGCCTGTACATTTTAATCAGAGGTTGGGGCTTCGGGCTGCTCAGCCGTATCCGCAAATTCCGGATCCTCTTCTTCGATCTCTTATCTCACTCTCTCTTCTGCGTCTTCTCTGACCCTTTCCCTTGATTCCCACCTCCTTTGACGTTTCTGCGACCAGCGCTCTCTCTTTCCTTGACTGGGGCGGTTCTTCTTGCGTTTCTTGTTTGGTCTTTCTAGTTGGTCTTGTTCTAGTTGGGAAGGTCGGGATTCACTACTACGTCCAGGTTGCGCAGGTGCAGGAGAGTCTGGTTGGCTAGGTGCGAGTTGAGCAGTATGTACAGCTGGACTGGCGACCAAAGCACGGATTATCAGAGCTGGGGTACGGTTTTGAGGTCGGTACAGATCTAGCGCCCATTGTTGCTCTAGTAAGCAGCGGGCTTCGGGAGCAGGTTGTGCGAAGTTGTTGTCAGCGCTGACAGGGCTGGCTTCCGGGTCTTCAGCAGCGATAGTGAGGTCTGAGGGTTGCACACCGAATGTTCGGCTGTGTTGATTGCGTGAGATCGCTTTCTCCACTTTAGGATGCATCTGAATAGAGGTCGGCGTATCCTCATCACTGCCGTCAGATGCCTCGGAAGGCGTTCCGAGACGGGAACCTTTTGCAGAGCGTCCCCACGAGGTGATGCGAGTCCAGCTGTGTAATAATATACAGGAAATGGCGATGACGATGCCTAGGAACTCTTTGAAAGAAGGTACGGTCATTGAAGCATTTTCGTCAGTGTTTCGGTCGACGTGGACATCGTTCCACCAGCTGGGTTTGTCTTCCTCATAGCATATGGGGTAAAGATCGATGAGCGATGTCTCCGTATTGTTGATCACTATGAGTCCCCTCTCGATGATCAAGTCTGCTCGACTGATGGGGCACCAGAGATTGTCCAAGTTGTAGATCCAAAGATCGTTGGGAAGAGTTGTTGTCTTGTATACCCATGTGGTAACTTGTGCAATGTCGAGGATTGCATTTGCCTCTGACGCTATGCATACGGCGCTTGATATGCGCATAAAGAGAGGCTCGCGGCGGTCAGTGAGTTCCTTCATTCCTGATAATTTGAATCGAGCACCGAGGAACGTCAAGGTGACGAAGAGACTGATAAATGGAACGAACATTGCTGCAGTATGTAAGTAATAACTACCAGACGCAGATTAGGTACATCTCACGTCATGTTGGTCTCTCAGTCCTTAGTTTTAGTCTGGTCTGGTTAATGCATACAGAAGCTTTATGGAAGTCAAGTGTAAGATGTTGGTGGTAATGGGAAAAAGGCTAGGAAATGAGGATCAAAATAGAAGAATATATACTCCGTTCGGGGAAGCGGTCTTTTATTTTGCTCTTTGCACAAAAGAGAAACGCAACCTGCATTCAGAGCAACAGCCATTGGGCCAGGGACAAACAGAAAGAACATGTAAAGATGGGCAAGGAGCCTAGCAAGTAAAAGTGAATAAAGATTTTGCTCTCCAGTAAACGGTGAATATGCCACCATCCCAGTGGGTTTCTTTTAGACAAAGATCTATAGACGACAGGAACAGGAAAGTCTATACAAGGTATGAAAATCGGCATAAGCCGTAAACCATGTAGAAAAATATTCACTAGCTAGGCATGAATCAGTTCTTTTTAGTAGCAAACAAATCAGATATCACAACAACCTAACTCCATTGTAAAACCCAGGGCATCGTATCTGAAAGAAATAAAGAAAGCGCATAACCTTTAATCGACGTCCATTTCCTCCTGAGTTGTGCCATCCACGAGAACTCTGGTCTTCTTCTTCTGTCTGAGCCTCTCCTCGCTGAAGATCTTGTTCTGCTTGCCCTCCTGCACCAAGGGCATTCCTTCTTCTCTGTCGCGCAGTTCCTTGCGGATAAGGTGCTCGCCCTCGGCCACAACTCTCCGGTCTTCCTCGCGCTTGCGGTCCCGAGCGATCTTGCCTGCCAATCTGCGCTTGGTGAAAGCGCGCTCTCTGCGTTGACGGATCTCCTCCACTCTCTCCATAGCCTTGACGGTAGCAGCCACGAGGTTGCGGTCGTACTTGACGGGGGCGTTCCTCTTCTTGGCGAACTGAGACAGAACGAGAGACGAGTCGACAATCATTTCCTTTCCATTGGCAGCTCTGCTGGTCTTGGTCCACTTCAACTTCCGAGGCTGGCGCTTCATCTTAAAGTTCTTGTGACATTTGCTGGAAGGAGTTAGAGCGTTCTTCCTCCATATGGATTATAGGAACCACCCACCTTCTGCAGAACCGGAACATTTTCGAATCGAGCCGCACAAAGCTGATACCCTTGCTAGGGTATACAGGGCTATTTCGCTGTTAAAAAATGTGTACCTAGGTTGATGGCGGGGTTATAGCATACCGACTGCAGAAGTGGCAGGTCTCAACTCTGCGCAGATGATTAGTGACTTTTTTTTTGTATTATCAAAGTAACACAGGTAAGAAACGGCAAAAACCGTAGAAGCTGCAAACCTACCTCATGATGAATGATGTCTCTGCCCACTTCCTTCAAACTTGAAATAAAAAAATAACTGGGAGGAGGTTGAAGGTATCAGTGGTGATAACAACCTCAGGTACCGCCAGAAACTTTTCGCAGATCTCCAAAACCGTGGCGGAGAAGACGCTAATCCTAAACGGGCATCGGCGGCGGCGCTCCGAATTTTTATCTCGACGGCCTTCCGTGTCTCCCAACGAACGTCACATCGAACACTTCTTTCCCGTGTTACTTCAACCTCGACTCAGATATCGCCCATCCCTTGACCGGACTCGGTGTGTTCAAAGACCGACTATAAACGAAGATGGCTTCAACTCTTGCTATGGGACTCGGTGTCGCGACCGCGGCGTTTTTGGTACGCCAGTCAATATGGATTCTTCGGCTATAGAGCGTGGCAAACTAACACCGGCATTTTACCTGCGTATAGGGCCGCGCAGGCTTTGTCGCTTTCCGTCGCTACAGGGGAGGTGTGAACGCCGTGGGCAAGGCATTCTACAAGGGGTAGGTGACTTCGATGTATAAGTGGAGCTATAGAGTGGATAGCTGACTGGCGTATAGAGGATTTGAACCCCGGATGAACCGTCGCGAAGCCGCTTTGATCCTGGAACTTCCGTATGTTTCGAACTGGTTGTCTCGTACCGACTTTGGATAGAGTCTAACAGAATGAATAGGGAGCGTACCTTGAACAAGGACAAGGTCCGCAAGAAGCACCGTCAGCTCATGCTTCTTAACCACCCCGATCGTGGTGGCAGCCCGTACCTGGCCACCAAGATCAATGAAGCCAAGGAATTCCTCGATAAGCATACTTAAAGGTGGGATCGGAAGGGGCCGTGGCCCCTGGTCACCGTTGGGGGTTATTTGCGGATCCTCTGACAACGGAAGGGTGGGCCTTCCGTTCATTGTATAAGGAAAGAGAATGTCTTTTTTGGGTGCATAGCATGGCGTTGGTGGAATTTTCGAGGACGAGGTACATTTCTTCATGCTCCTCCCGGAGACTTGTGTTTGCATATATCCTGACGAGATCGCCACTCCTGATTACTTTACATGTATTACTGTATAAATACTAAAGAAGCCTATCATTGAGAGTTATTCATTTCGCATTGTAGTGTTGCAGCTAGGAGAGTCCAATATGACCATGGCTATCGAACAAGGCCTGTACTGTCTGGGCCTGGCTAGATCTCGCATGAGTCTTGGGTTTACCAGTGAATATACAGAAAGAACACTGGCGGTGCCCTGGTCTCTTTATCAGGTTATTCACAGCAAGATTTGCATGAGATGCAAAGATAATCACTGGAAGTTGTAATAACCTCCGTGAGCCGTTCCACGTGGTGCCAAAGACATTCTATGACTCGAAACAAGCAAAAGAGTTCCGGAGGTCGGAAGTCTTGTGACTTTGGAGTTTGGACACCTTCAGAAGAAGGAAGAAAACGCCAAGTCCACCCGGATGTCGGCGTTTCCGGAGACAAGACAGCCGGGAAAATCAGCTTAAGTTTCAAGTCCAACGGAGATCGGACTTAGCAGTTCCCGAAGTCTTAACATCGTACCAAATCCGTATTCGAGCCACGGGAGAGCAACGCACTAAGGATGCACTTGGCGTGAAGCAAACCCCATCTTAGTACCTGAAAGAAGGGAAATGGTCTGCGAAGGTTGAGGTTTAGGTGCCCTACTATTGAATTAGTAAGGTTAATTAGTTCACCCTGCTTGAAGGCAGCAACGTAGTTTACGAGTACGAATGCGATGACTCTCTTTCCTTGATATCAATCTTTAGGGGGGTTGACAAATGGTCTTCTGAATTTCTACACCCCAAGAATTGCCTGATCATAAACGTTACTTTACTTCATAGAATTGTTGACGTCGTTCCTTTTTTTTTCCTTTTTTTTTTCTCCGTCCACCAAAAAGATTCGCCACGTGCCAGACTTTGGGGAAGGTTGAGTCAGCTATTCTCTTTTCCATTCAACTTTGCGCAACGCACCCAGCACCTTAAGCTATTTTCGTCCTTTTGAAGGTCTTCCCCACTGGAGAAAGGCTAGTGTCCGATGACCCTAGTCTTTCTTTCGTGTATCACCTAAGCTTCATATTGAACAAGGGAAGGAAGGCAAGACGGATAACAGCTCTTTTACGCCATTGACGTTTTCGCGGAAAGACCCCGCATCTTCCTATCATTATCACGCCTGAAACGATACCCGCCGACATTAGAACTCCACACTATACTTCACAAGCTTTTAATACGTCGCAGCGTCACATTCCGTTTGATCTGCCGCGATGGATGGCATGGGGGAAGGCCCAGATGGTATGGGCTTCGATATGCCGATGCTTATGAACCAACAGCCCCATCTCTTCGGCGGCTATAACCACGACAGTTCGCGCGGTTCCCCACTGAATAATGTTCTCTCAAATCCTACCTATAATGAGGATCCTGGAATGGCGGGTGAAGACAACAATGACGCCAAGAGGAGAAGGATTGCGAGGGTGAGTAGTGGTTGACCATGACATTGGTGGTTGAATGTCAGCGAAGCTGATTTCCCCCGTGTAGGCCTGCGACATGTGCCGGAAGAAGAAGATCAAATGCGACGGCAAGATGCCCAAATGCTCCCACTGTATTAACTATAAGACGGATTGCGTTTTCACTCAGGTGGAGAAGAAGCGAAATCCTCCCAAAGGGTATGCTTGCGCATCTACCGTATTACCTCTTCCTTGTGGGCGCTGACCGTTTACGCTTCTAGTGCCAAATATATCGAGGGTCTAGAGAATCGGTTAGGGAGAATGGAATCGCTTTTACGTCTATCTGGTCTCTTATCGGAAGATGATGGGAAAACAGACCTTGGAACTCTGGAGAAGCGTCTCGCCGACCGATCTCTAGGCAACACGGGGTTGAACTCCTTGAAAAGTCCAACAAATAAATTCAATGGCTCGAGCGCGGCGTCGCAATCCCAGCATACTACTGCGTCTCGGCATTCGACGCCACGGATGGATTCTCAGTCCAGTCCACACACAGCTGCCACCTCTCCCGAGTCCCCGAAAGAATCCGAGACAGAAGTCGAGGGATTGTCAGACATGATGTGCTCCCTTGTGACAAATAATTGTGGAGAAACGCGGTATATCGGTATGCGCATGTTCAGTTCGGCAAACTTATAACGCAAGCAAGCTAACATGGTATGACAGGATCATCCTCGGGATTTTCCATATTCTCACCCAAGGGAATTCAATGGGTCAATGAAAAAACAGGCGATACCTCTTTTCAGGACATGATCTCGTCAGCATACGTAGATGACAACAAGTGGATGTACTGGAAACCAGAGATTTTTAGCGACATATTTGCTCGTCGTGTCTTTAAACCCTTACCCCCGAAGGAGGAGGCGCTGTCACTGTTCCGAGATTTCTTCGAGAATTTCAACTGCATGTTCCCGTTGTTTCACGAACCAACATTCATGCACTTGGTGGAGCGCCAATACTCTCGGGATCCATACGAAGGCTCTGGCTGGTGGGCTAGTATCAATGTTGTCCTGGCCATCGCGCACAGACTACGAGTCATGAGTAATTTGGTGCCTCAAGAAGAGGATAAGAAAGCTTGGCTCTACCTGAAAAATGCTATGGGGGTCTTGACCGAATTAACCATGCGAAATACAGATCTT